TAGCATTAGCGAGTACGTTCTCGTATGCAGGTAATTTGAGTCCATTTACTGTACATATTTTGGCTGGTGATAATTACCTTTCCATCCATGGTCAGGTTTCAAAGACTATATATATCACGATTATTGAAAGAGTATTTCACATTCTCACATTATGGAAGGAACTTCTCGAACACTTCCTTACACCATAAGATTCGTTGGTCTACTTGGCAGTCATTCTCTTGGTAGAAATCCAAAGTTTATGGCTACTGCGGTAGATTTAGGAAGGGAATTGTTAAGACGAAGAATTAGTCTTGCTTATGGAGGAGGCAATGTTGGCCTACAAGGAGCTGTTGCTTCAACAGTCTTTACCAATAGTGGTCTCGTTAGAGGTTTCATTCGTGGGTACATAGCAACACGACGGGTCTATGGACCTACGTACGGTGTAGAGCACACAGTTTCCAGCAATTACTACAAATATTTTGAGATGAATCATGCCGTGGAAGCTTTCATTGTTCTTCCTGGAGGAGTTGACACTATGGAAGGTTTGTTTACCTTGATCTCGTGGGCTTCTGAAGGGTTACACAATAGACCCATTGGTCTTTTAAACATTGACGGTTATTTCAATAACCTTCTCAAATTCTTAGACGATGAGTGTTTAAGTGTTTGTATACACTTTAAGGGAGGTTTTTCCCTTTTTGTAAACTTGAAGGAAGTCTTTCGTTCCTTCGTGAGAAGTCTTGGAGTGCGGTATCTCCAAGCAAAGGCATTGAGGCTCGTGTGACTCGAGTTCTCAAGTTGTATCGGTTTGTTGAGCACCTTTGAGCTTAACGGAGTTAGTGTAACTCGAGAGAGTCTCTCGAAAGGCTGGATTAGCCACACGTTGTGGTGAACCAGGATAAAATTCGGTGTGCTCCTTCCTTACGCTCTTTACTTTATCACTCTCGTTTTTAATTTCCTGCAATTTTGTTTTAAATACTATTCACCCCCCCTCTAGCGTTGGGCCTTTATTCTAACAATTGGTATCGGAGCCATACTCTCTAAAAGACTTAACCGTTTGAGAGAAACGATCAATGGCTTCTACTCAAAGTTCATACACAGGTTTAGGTGAAGGGCAATCCACCACGAGGCCTCTATTGTTTGACGAAACAAACTACACCTATTGGAAGGAGGGGATGAGGATTTACATCCAATCCACAAACTTTCTCCTTTGGAGAATTATCAAAAATGGTGAGGACGTGCCAATGAAGAAGGTCGAGGAAACCAACGTCCCTAAGACCGAGGATGAATATGATGCACAAGACATCAAGAAAGTGGAAAACAATGCCAAGGCCATCAACATCATCTATTGTGCCGTTAACCCGGATGACTACCGGAAGATTTCTTATTGCACCACCGCAAAGGAAATGTGGGACAAACTAGAAATCACCTACGAAGGTACGGATCAAGTCCGAGAAGCTAAAATTGATTTTCTAACCCATGAATATGAATTGTTTCGTATGAAGGAAAACGAGAAAACCGATGAGATGTTTGAACGATTCTCCAAAATCGTCAATGATCTTCATGCTCTCAAGAAGACGTACACGGACAAGGAGCTTGTGAGAAAAATCCTACGAAGTCTCACACCAGAGTGGCGCTCCAAAGTCGATGCCATTCAAGAGTCCATCGGCATCACCAACGTCACCATTGACGGACTTAGAGGTAACCTCAAAACCTATGAGTCCACCATTCTATTCCCTTCTTTAGGTGAACAAAAGAAGAAGGGGATTGCACTCAAGGTTACCTCAAGCCAAGAACCCGCCATGGAGGAATCAAGCGATGAGGACAACGAGTTCGGGCTCGTCATCAAAAAGTTCCACAAGTTCATGCGAAAAGAGTATGAACGAAAGGGCAAAAAGCATGGAGGACCACCCAAGTGCTATGGGTGTGGAGAAGTTGGGCACATCAAGCCAAAATGCCCAAATGCCAAAAACGAGAAGGAGAAGAAACCGTTCAAGAAGCACCGAGCTTACATTTCATGGGGAGGTGATTCCGGCGATGAGTCATCGGAAGGCGAAGAGAATGAAAGCGC